CAAGTACCAATACAATGTGAGTTTAAAAAACCCTATTTTTTAATTTTAAGTCCAGAATTTCCAGTTTGCACAAGTTTACCTTTAAATGACTACTGAAAATTTTGGAATTTTTTAAGATAGAAAGAAAAAAAATGTTCCCTATATGCTTAGAGGTAGAGATGGTTTTAAATTATCTTTCTGGAAAGCTAACTTTCAAATGCGGTTTGAAGCTACCCTTATATCCACCAGAGACAGAAGATATGGGGAGGCCAGGGAACATGCTCTGCATGCTTTTGTTCTAAGTTGATTGCAATTCTCCACATATCTTTGTCCCTAGAAAGAGATCTGGGGTAATTGCACCATTTCCAGTGACTCTTCTTTCCTTTATGTCAAAATGTCTTGCTCACACTCCTCAGAGAAAGGCTCTTGCAAAGGGCAATTCAAGACCCCAGTGTTCAACTCCTTCTCCTAATTATTCCCCAGATAAGTCTATCTTCCTCTATTTACTGAAAAATAAACTTGAAAAAGTCTCACATTTTCATGTCTAAAGTCTGTTATGTTGAATGCTTTCCTCAGACTCCACGTCTTGAAGTAAGAACTGAGACAGAAAGCCATAAAAAGTTACTTTTTTGGTGGTTTCTGAAGAAAAATGGATGAGTTTTTCAATAAAATTAGACAAAGTAGGAGCATAGTTGAGATGCATGAACTTTGGACAGAAAAAACAAGAAGGGGACAACAGTTCACAATCAAGACTAAAATAAGGTCAGGGACACAGGAGCAATTGCTGGGAAGTCCAAGAGAAGATGATAGAGTAAATGGAAGAGCATCTGAAGTAGTGGAAGTGCTGGCAAAAAACTCCATTCTGCTGGGCAGAAAGTGACTGAATAATAGTCCAAAACCAGGAAAAAGCATCATTGACAATACTTTTGCTTTTGAAGTGTCTACACCAGTAAGAGAAATGAAAGCATTTTCATGCTGCCATAATAAGTTCTTAGACCAGGATTATACAGTGGAACCATCACTTTCAGGTCTTCCACCTATATATTAGCAGCTCTGCTGCTTAGCAAAGCTGTTGCTGTTCTGCCATCAGCATCAGATGAAAATCTGATAAAAAATGAAATCTCATTTATGAAGGCTGTGTCCATATGCTATGTAATATCAAACTCTGAGAGCAGGCTAAGAAATAGAAATGACTCATCAGCCATGTAGTGTATCATGTACTTGGCTCCTGGATGAGGCTGCACTGTGATCTGCAGAGGGAGATGGGTAGAGTCCTGCTGTAGGCTGTGTAGAAGCTGTGTAAAAAAGGCTGAAAAATCTGTTTATTTTATACTTCAACTAGTAAGCTAATGTTGGTTTTCTTTTGGAAGCTCTGCTGCTCCTGACTGTTGGGGTACTGAACATTTATGGGGTCATCTGTGTCATCTGCAGCATTTGAGTTGTATTCATATCAGAAATAAAGTCTGAAGATAATAATGTTATTTTTCTTTTATCAAGTATAATTGCTTCTCCAATATCTAAATCCAACATTTTCACCAAATGCCTATATGTATTTTTTCCATAAGATCTGAAACTGAAATACAAGCAAGGGTATATTTTTAAACAGGGGATCTAGAGGCCATGAATGTCTTTCAGGTCTTCCCAAAGCTCCACCTTTGGTCCTTTGTGTCTATAGATCTACACTTGGGATTTTTGATCTTTCCTGAGACTTTCTATAATGAACAGCTCAGGTTTAGTAGTATAGAATTTAATCTTTTTTCATTTTTTTTTTAAGATGAAAATGAAAGAAATTTTTTTAAAGTAAAGAAAGCTTAATGGTATATTCATTACTATACAAATTTTAAAAAGGGAAAAAATGTAACGATTATCCCATCTTTACTTCTTCCTTTCAATCATTAGAAGTTACATACTCTTGAATATTTGTGTGTTCTGTCCTAAATGTTAACATGTTTTAAGTAATTAATACACTGAAGTTTAATTTAAATTTTTCCAGCTTCTAATAGGTTATAATCCAGTATTATAAAAAGTGAATACAACTTATAAAGGACATCAAAGTGCACTTTTCACCAAAGCAACTTTAATGAAATATATAGATTATGGTTTGTTCTCAATGAATATACAAAGTATATCACCTTACTGATTAAAAAAGCAAAAAGACAAATTCTGGCAGAAGAAAAAAGGTAAAATTAGTTACTACTGCCAGAGATTTGTTAGATAAAAGTATTGCAGGCAGCCACAGGCCACATTTACTCCATTTATGGAAGTCTCTGTACACAAAAATGCTGCTTCAGAATACTAAGAAATAAATTCATTTTTATGCTAAGACATTCATTGCTCAAGCCAAGTAACATGCTGGATAACTATGTTAATAAGAGAGAGACATGCGAAGGAAACTAATTCTTCCCATTACCTTTGAAAGTGCATGGACTGGAGGCAAAATTGTTCTCTGGCAGCTAGCACAGTACCAAGTCTGCCTCATTGTCACCACAATGACAAAGCAGGAGAAGCCCACTCAGTTTAAGTAGGCAGTCATCTGCACTCTTTTGTCTTCTGCCCATTTCCCTTTCAAATTATAACACTGGAAGAAGGACCTGAAATAAGGATCAATAGTCCCTGGCATAGTTGTGTTTTCGAGTTGGTTGTTGGTTTTCCTGTGATCAAAGCAAACTGGATTTTATACAATACATAGTATTTGTATAAATACTAATTTAACTCAACATGATCCAAATTTGATTGAATTTGAAACATTAAATTGGCAAAGTGATAACGTTTTATGCTCACTTTGTTTGTGACAATAGCAAATTTGGGCCAATGCAAGTAATTAAATTGAAATTCTTTTCAAGGAAATTGTTATCTGTATATTCACTTTTTTCAATCTTTGCTTTTTTAATGGATCAGTGTAATACAGATGAAAATTTTTGTTTGTGGGTGGTTTTTTGACAGGAGGGCCAATATGGGATTGTTTTGTTAATGGTTTTACAGTATTAACACAGCTAATTAAAATGAACAATGACTGGCTTTCTATTTACAAGATTTTATTTAGTGCTTTTGTCTTATCTGTATGACAGTATCATCAGCTCTGGTTTTATCAGCTGAATAGTCTGCATTCTTGCATACCTCTTCTCTTCCACACAGACACAGACACACACACCCCCACACACACACTTTGTTTTCAAATGCAACATTTAGAAATCTGGTTGAATCAACAGTCCTGGAATTACAAAAAAAAAAAAAAAAGTTAGCCACAAGAATAGCATGTAACTCCACTAACTGTAGTCTAATGTTGAGCATGGAAGATGTATGTCTGTGTGTTTAACATCCAGTTCTTACACCCCTCCCCTGTCCCCAGGTTGGTCTGGAAGTTGGTCTGGAAGCTCCTTCCACTTCCCTTCTGTTAGCTCAGGTGCTTATCTGACTTGGGGAGTCAATTCAGTTTGTTTATTTGGCAAAAAAAACCCAACAAAACCCTAGCTGAAAGGAAGAGGATCCTGCAGGGTTATTGAGCTGAACTGATTTACAGAGGCACCAGTGAACCATTAGATCTTCTCAGTTGTCCCCTCCTGAGGAGAGAAGGAAAAAGAATAATTCACCCTTTGTAAATGCTGAGTATCCTTCTCCTTGCAATCAGTAGACTATATTAGTTTTAAGGATCTTTTTAAAGAATCTCAGCAAAGATCATTTTCACACACCAGCATATCAACATAGCTGTTCTCAGCAGCATTTTTCTATCTAACTTCTACACCAAGATGATGATATGCCTGCTACCACATGGCACTGGAATTTAAAATCTGATTTTCCTCCCTAATGCCAGCTTTGATCTTCTGCCACACAGCCTCCACGGAAAACACTCCTGATGTAACTTCTGCACCCACTGTTGTTTGAGTGCATAAAACAGGGAGATAAGAGCTTTAGATTTCTCATGTTATGACTACACATATGAGGGAGGCACACTAAGGAAGTAGTCATACATTTGTAACCTTATAAATCAATTCTTTCAAGAGCTGTCAGTAAAACCTATTATGTAATCTCAAAAGAATAAAAATTTACAATGTGTAAAACAATAATTCTAAATAAGATAGCACTAGAGTTGATGTTAGCCAGCTGAAGTTAATCAAACATCAGTAAGACCGAAGTATAAATGCATGAAGAAATGATAATGGCGTGAGTTTCATAATTTATTATCATAGGAAACATCCTATGACACTTGTTTTGCTTTAGACAGCAGAGTTGTAAAAATGTCATTTTAGATTGTGATCCTTTTAACATTTATCAGAAGATAAACACCTTTATAATACACTACATCTACACATTTCTCTTCCATTCTCATTATTTACAAATCGTCTCTAAGATTCAACTTATTATAAGCAAATGAGTCATCATTATAGATTTATATCATTCAAAAAAGATAATATCAATGAGTTTACATATTATTAAAAAAAAAAAAAGTTATTAGAAGGGAAACACTGGATGTACCAAAGACGACAAATATCAAGCAATGGAACTGGGCTTAAGGAGAGGTTGGAGAGGAAGGTGGCTAAGAAATAAGCCTGTAAGTTGTTTAACTTTTTCTTTTT